GCGACGCCATAGTCGGGGAGGAGGTCCACCAATTCATGGACAAAGCGCACCACCTCCTCGTGCCAGGGCACATTGGCCATTGTCAGGCTGCTTGCTGAACTCTCTCCACAGTAGGTCACACCCTGCGGAGGCGGTACAATGGTCAGAGGGGAACAAAGGCCAACACTTGCAGGGCACAGAGTCAGTTGGTCCAATCTACATTTTACAGTGAAGAAGGCGACAAGAAGACTGTAAGATCTGCTTGGGAGGTCACACATACCATTGGTGACAAGGGCAGCACTAGAACCCCCAGGCCAGCCCCGTGTCCACCTTGTGACAGCACTGGTGTTTGAGGACACAGCCTCAGCGCTGTGCCCCAGTGGCTGCCGTCCAGTCACAGCAGGGTGTGTCAACATGCCATATGGGTTCAACGGCATCCTTCCATTCAGATGCTCTTGTACGCTGCAGTAAGATGAATTCTCATGGGATCATAATCCCCTTCTAACGGGGCACAGTTGTTGCTCTTGTTGTTGACTACCATGGAGGTGGGCCCCCAAAGCATGACGGCCCCATGCACAATGCAGTGACACAGTGCCAGGTCCTGTGCCACTCCCACGATCGGCCGCACACCAGGCCTTTGTCCTCCACAGGCGTCCCACTGCCTCCTTTTCAGAAGCCGACCACCAGGCCTTTCCTCCCAGTGCATCTTAGTCTGGAAGCTCTGCTGAAACTGACACCAAGTAAAGTAAAAACTATTTCCCCCACCCTGGTACTCGGATGGGAATAGATAAGTAAACTAAATTACCCCCAACTATTTTCCCACCCCGGCAGCTCTGGTGGCATAGTGCCTAAGGCACTTGACTGCTAGCCAGAAGGCTGGTGGTTCAAACCCACTAGCCACTCCTCGGAAGGAAGATGGGGCAATCTATTTCCGTAGTGATACTGCCCTAGAAACCCAAGGAGGGGTCGCTATGAGTCGGGTCCGACTCCACGGCACACAACAACAACAACATTTTCCCACCCCAGGTGGATGAGTATTCAGTTCCTTAAAGAACTGAACGGAAGGAAAACATTTTTCCCTGCAGGTGATAAACTTGCTAAAAGTGCCTCAGAAACAACTTAAATCAACTCTGGCCGTGGCTCACGGACATGCACAATAGGGCAGAAAGGAACAAAAGTTAATGATGACCCTCTCCCTTCTGCCCAAGCCCCTATCAGCTGATGACAGGAACCTGCTATGACTCATCCTCCAGCTCAAGTTTACGACCCAAATTCCTCAACCTTTTGTGAATATGCACAACCCCCTTTCCTGACACCCACAAAAACTGTGTTCCGATGACATCTCCGGGAGTCAGATCTGGGTACTGAACTACCCCTACTCCTTGCATTGTCGCTTTGCAATAAATAATTTTCTCTCCTCTCAATCTCGGTGTGTAAACTGTTTTGGCCTGACTGCGCACCGGGCGTTTGGTCCTATAACAAAACCTGTTCAACATCTCCCAGCAACATGCAAACCTCTGCTGACAAAGGGGCTGGCTACATGAGGTACACTGGCCAGAATCAATGCCAAGTCCCCACAAGGAAGGTAATTCTATCAACGAACCACCACTGTCCCACCTGTAAAAATTCACTGACCAACTGACTCATTGGGAAAATGAGCAGCCCTTTCCCACTATGGTTTAGACCAAGGTTAATCAACTTTCTGTGAAGAGCCAGGGAAGGGTTTCTTTGATAGTATCCTTTAAGGTAATCCCTCTGTAAAGTACTCTGTATATGGAAAAATATTGTTATAGACCAAATTGTGTTCCTCCAAAACTGTGGTGTAAATCCTAACCTCTCCCCTGTGGCTACAATCCCATTTGGGAATGGGCTGTCTTTGTGATGGGAATGAGGTAGGATTAGTGTGGGGAGTACCCTGAGTCAATCTCTTTGACACATAAAGGAGATTAAGCAAGCGAGCAGAGCCGAGCTGGGGCAAGGGAGATGCCAAGCCACAGGAAGACTGCCCAGAAACAGAAGCTCAAAGAGACAAGGACCTTTCTCCAGAGCTGAGAGAAAGAGAGACAGACAGACAGACAGACAGACTTTCCCTTCGAGCCAGCACCTTAAATTCAGACTTACAGCCTCTTAAACTGTGAGAAAATAAATTTATTTGTTAAAGCCACCCACTTGTAGTATTTTTGTTATAGCAGCACTAGAGAGCTCAGACAAACATAAACACAGACTCATGCCAACAGGGGAATATAGCTGTGTACACATGCACATACACACCTTGACACACACATACATGCACAAACACACATCTCACCTGCACAGAAAGTCCTATAAAGCACAGCTGCAGTAAGGCAAAATGGCTTTCTGCAGTAAGGCAAAATGGCTTCTAACTTTTTTGAACTCAGCCTGATATATAAGACCCAAAGGTCTCATAACTAAGTTCTCCATTCAGTAACTTCCATAATGAGAAATGATAGATGAGTCTTTTCTCATAATAAGGGAATTCTTAACTCTGTAGCTCTTCAGCTATCCCCAGAGCAAACTTTCTTGACAGCTAGTTAGAATATTCCAGAGATGCTTCCACTAAGCAGGGAGTAACTGAGAGAAAAAGATTTCAACACATGCACACACACACACACACACAGAGACACGCATGCACGCGCGCGCGCACACGCACACACACACACACAGACGGGTAGGGACAGAATGACAGGAAATGAAGAACCCACAAATGAATGCTGCGGCGTGACCCTGATCCCACAGATGGTAAGGCTGGGGATTTGCCAGAGACTCCGATGAGCTATCCCCAATGCCACAGTCCAGATGGCAATCCACAAAGATGATGGTAGCAGGGACCACATAACAGAAACGGCAAGCCACCCAGCTTAATTATAATAAACAAGAGCATCTTCCCTAGGAGCCCAGTGATGTACTGAGTTCATTAAAGTGAATTTGAGTTTTAGGAGAGGGAAAAAAGCAGAGTACTGTGGTTCTTGGAGCTTGCAGTGCAAAGGCTGACCCACGTGCTACCCCAATCTGGGGCCCTGCTGAAAGTCCCTCTGCTCTGGGAGATGGCGGTCAGCCGGTCTTCACTCTTGGCTGTGGCAAGTTTGCCA